AGGGGAGAGGGGAGAGGGGAGAGGGGAGAGGGGAGAGGGGAGAGGGGAGAGGGGAGAGAGGGGAGGGGAGGAGGGGATTTGCACCCGGTCGAAAGAAACCTTGCTATCGCAAGAGTAACTCCAGCTAGCTTCGCTAGCTTTCGTGACTTTGGAGCCCAGGCGGGAACCAGCGGACCTTCTTGAATTTTATATTGGAAGACGTTCAAAGTTCCTTTGTGACTTATGTTTGCTTGCTCAATCCTGCTATCACAAGCACTTCAATCTACTTCAATGCAAAAACCAACTGGATGTGATCCATATTGATCAAATTTGATCAATGTGATCGTGTGATTCAAAGCTTCCCACGTCATGTGATCAGCAAATCCAGTCCAAGCTCCCAGGCCCATGTCTTTGGCGTATGCCAGGGTGGTGCAGAGTCCGTGCAAATGTGCATCGACTGCGTGGCATGAGCACAGAAACAATGACAGTAGGGTGTAGCAAGAGTATAACAACAGTTAGTTGGTTTCTTTCATTGCTTGGGAATGGAACTCACTCTGCCGCCTGTCGCTGCAGCATCCTTGAGCACATGCCTGCAAAGGCTGCCTTCTCGTAGGCTGCCGCCGAGATCCACATAGTGCCACGCTGGTCTCAGCTTGACACAACCCATGTTAAACTGAAAATCTGAAAACTTAAACACCGAGAGTCCACTACTAATACTGAAAGCTATGCTGAAAGCTCGACCTCCAAAACCTTCAGAGTGCGCATCTTCAGCTTCACTGGAGATGTTGGGATGTTGTGTTGCATCAAGGAAGGCCACGGCTTCAAGCCCCTATGGTTCACTTCCCAGGTGCTTCATTCTATAGTGTCCATAATATGCCAGTCTGTGCCAGGCTTAGTTTGAACCCCACAGGGGTGCCCTCTCAGCCAGTTGCTGGCATAGATGATGGTCAAAGCAGAGCCACACTCCTCCAACTACACAAGGAACTAGCACCTCCCAATCATTTCCACCAAAGCACCTCGTGCTCAACAGCATCAACTCACTCTGGTGGACAAAGCATTATTTCCCTTCTTGCGATCCTTATATTCTAACTCTGGCAGGCTGAGACTCTGCAAGCACGTTGGACCTTGCCAGGTGTTAATTCAATGGTATGTTCTACTGACCCTGGTGCATGTGCAATGTTTCCTTCCCCTGCTCCTGGCAGAACTCGCGCAATGCATGCCTGGCAGGTTTAACCATGATGTGATGCCACTTATGGGAACGCGGGATTCACTGAGCTTGCTCCATTCACGAGTTGCCCCTGAATATGTTGCCATACAAACAAACAAACAAACAAAGCAAAGCAAAGCAAAGGATAAGTCTGCTGCATCTAATGCACCGGGCACACGCGCGTTTTCTTTGCGCTCTAACATCCACTTCAGGCTTTCCTGCTAAAAAGCTTCTGAAATCCCGCCCAAAACGTAATGGAAGGGCATGGATATGGTATCTGAACTGTCACCTGCTGATTTGTGGGATCCAAAAGCAAGTGCAAGATCTGTGGCTCACCAAGTACCTGGCAACCTCCAGTCCAGTGCCTCTCTCTCTCTCTTGAAAAACACACATAAATAGATGTGCATACTTCAAATTGCTTGACTTCACAGTGAGGCTACACATTCAAGAATATTCAAGAAACCTTCTCAAACCGCAGTCCAAACGCACTGCCAAGCGTGCAGCCATGTCCGTCCTCCTTAAAGTCATCGGGCACTTCGCAGCGGGTGCGCCGCGCTCGGAGACGTTCACTGGCGGCGGCACCGAGGATCTCCTGGTGAAAAGAACTGACACCATGATTCTCTGGTTGTGCCCAATGATTTGATGGAATATTGGATGGTAAATCATGGTAATTCTCACCGCATGCTCTTTCTTGTTGAATTGCAAAGGTCAGGGTGAAGCACTAGTTTGGGGTTCATACATGTGCTAATCATTGAAGTACAATAATCTCAGATCTGGTCTGCGCTCTCATGTCACTTCATTCACTACAGCGTCACTGAAGGTTTCCCCGTGCGATGAGCCTCCAAGAGGTTGTACTCAGGCTCAAAGAGACCTTTCCTGAGATTGGGAAAACCATGGAAACCACTGTTGTTTGGGGATACCAGTGATTTCTGTGCTGCCAAGTTGCAGGTTTTGAACCAAGTTTGGATGAGAGCAAAGTCTCGAACGCCTTCGGCCCCGAGAGTTGTAGCGCTTGAAGCGCACCTGCTGCGGGAATGGCCTCGCCAGAAACAAAGACCCAAGCAATGCAGAAAGAAGTTGAAAGAGGCCCAGGATTATATTAAAATCCCAGCAAAAGGTGTTCATCACTTAACGCGTTCCAGCCTGGCCCCCAAGGCTTCCTTTCCAAGCCGCCCTCCTTCCATCAAACCCAACCGTGGCTTCACCCATCAGCATCCCAGCCTGATGCCCAAGAAGTTTGTGATGCGCTCCAGCGTTTCTGGGGCAGCTTGCATGTCCTCACTGAGCTCTTGGACATTCTTGGACTACAAAGAAGAACACCTTCTTTTATAAACGCACCTAAAAGGCTGCTATCGCTTGTTCTTTTTGTTGTGTTTCCGCCTGCATGTGAAAGATGTCTCCACCCTGGCACCGTCCTTTTCAATGAAGAGCGCCCTACCGGCAAAGTTGCGGCCCCAGGATCTTAGAGCTTCGGAGAAGTAAGTGGACCTGCGTGGTGGATCTATGTGGATCGTATTTGCAGTCTGAAACGGGGTCCTACTGAGTCCTACAGGCTTCAATCCACAAGAACTTCTCTCGCCTGATCACGAAAAGGACCATTCTGCTGATCCCTATCAATATGAATCAGTCTATCAGGTTGGAGGCCATCGTGAGCAGGTTGGAGGCCATCGCTTGTAGGGTGGAGGCCATCGCTATTAGGGTGGAGGCTATGAATCGCAATTGGCACGTGGAGTATCCGCTTGTGAAGCGAAACGGGTTCGCCTGGTGTCACTCGCCTTTTGGTGCACCTGCCAGGGCTGCACTTTAACACACCCACGGGATGAAGCTTCAGTTTCGCTACTGATTAGTTCTTTTTGGTAGATAGACTTGCTTGGAGGATCGGACATCGTCAAACTCCGAACAAAGCTGCAACAGCAGGCCACTCAAAGTGGATACAACAGCTGCAACACTCGTCATAGTCGAAATGAATGAGACTTACTATAGTTTGACAAACCTTGGAGAAGCAAGCATCAGTGCTGATCCGAGGGCGGTTGTTTCTGGGAAGAGGCTTGGTGCTCCGACTTTGCCAGTGCTACCCCTGACAAACGGACACCACTATGCCGTCAAACATGGAGATCCTTCAAATTCAAATCGAAGCCAGCTCTACCGCCGACTCAGGATCAGCCAAAGTCCGACAGCACAAAGCATGCTCAGGGGCAAGTACAGTAAATGCTGGAGATCTTGTCGCTCATGCTGTCGAAGTTGTTCCTCGCAAAAGCATCCAGGCACCCTCGTGTACCAATCATATCAAATACTTATAGTAATTATATAATTGCTTCCTCAAAAGCTAACTCGCCAATATTCAACAAACCTCTCACAAGCCCAAGCGAATCTACACTCCCTGAGACCAAGCTGCTTGTTCACAGTCACTGCGACAGCACTGCTCGTAGCATCCACTGTGTACATGGCTGAGCCTGAACAGTCTGTGCTGTCGTAGTACATGATCTTGCATCCTGGCGAACTCACACCACGTCGAAAAGAACGCAAACTCATGCAGACTCATGCTCTACGCTCCATATTTCTGGATTCACTCTATTTCATTCACGCGTGTACATCGAAAGCAATCTCTATAATTAAATATACATAGAACAGATCTGAAAAGATTGTGCATCAATCATGTGCAATCTATTTGTGAACATGTACGGCAATATTGAAGACAACCAAGGCTGATATAGGTTGAACATGAGATTACCATGTCCCATGTTCCCAAGAGAGTGGTTTCTCTGGCTCACCTGGAGTGGCACCCTGCAAACCCGAGCTGAGCTTGTTGTCGTAGTATCCACTGTTGTACGCGGACAAATCATCGCAAAGATTGTCTCCTGCATGGCAAGCACAGCTCGTTTGTTTCGCATCCCGAAGGCTCAGACTTCGAAAAAATTGTAAAATAAACAACATAAACATGCACAAAACACATATTCACGCTGCAAACAAAGGTGCCCATCTCATAATTCAACCAGGCGCCTGCAAAATGTCGCTGTGGAACACTGTTGAACATGCAACAACTGCTGTTTTCCATGTTTTCCATGTTTCTCTTCAGACAGCTCTTTTGCAAGCCTGCAAAATGGATTGGAATGCCCTTTCCAGCCTTCATACATGCTGTCCGACCACATCTGATACCAGCACTTTTTGTTGAGAGTGTTCGTCTGTCGACGGCGGCGTCTGCGGCGACGGCGGCAGTCGAAGATCTCCGTACCCTCCTCTTCGCTCTCATCCTCTCTCTCCTCGACAAGCTCGATGGAAGAGTGGTGCGCAAACTCCTCAAGCGCAGACTCGTAAAAACCAGGACATGCCACAGCATTCCCCCTACAGTGGTGTTGTACAGAAATACTCAGGAAAAAGACTCTTACGTGACACTTGGGTACACTTTTATAGCTTTGAAACTTTGCGTGCTTCATGCCAAGGTCAGTGTCCTCGTCCTCAGAGACTCTGGTGCCGTTACCTGCTTCTGGATCTGCCCCTCCATGATGTGCCGGGCCAGTGTGCTGCAGCAGGGCAGCAGCTTGCACCGGCTGCTCTTCGCAGGAGCTGGAGTCCCCGACCACGGGAGTCAGCAAAGCAAGCATGGCAAGCAAGGACCTCATCCCTTGTGGAATGAGAGGCGGTAAACTCAGGAATCAAAGTTGAGATGAGCCGAAATGCTGGAGAAAAAACGCACTTGCTCAGCAGGTGCATGTCTATCTTTGCATCAGAAACTGGTCAGCCGATCTTTCCTGCTCTCGGCATTTGCATATTCATAGATATCCCAGGTTCCCATCCGTCCCACCTGCTCCAAAATGTCAGCGGCGTGAGCCTCCAAATCCAACTTCCGCTCAAAGCGATCCAAGGGGTCGCAGACCGCCACCATCTGCCGCAAGTTGGCTCACGGTGCTCGATTCTGAGAACATAAAACATCAACAAGAACGCTGGTTCGATCCGCTTGGGGTGATTCCTAGGCATCGTTTGCACACTGAATCCTGGGACCCCGGCTACTAGGAACAAGTGCATCGCTTCTAGTAACAAGTGCCTTACTAGTAGTAAGGCACTTGTTACTAGAAGCGATGCACTTGTTCCTAGTAGCTTATTGTTTGCACACTGAATCCTGGGACCCCGGCCACACGTAGATTCGGAATGTTGGCCAACAAGTGCTCCAACAGCTCCTCACGTGTTCCCGGCGAAGCCTGACTTTTGAGACTGCTTCGCGCATTGGCCTTGGTGCGCCACATAGGCTCAACCTTGTTTACCAACACACAGCTGGTCCTCCTGCCACATCAAAGGCTGGTATATCCCAACCTTTTCTGCTTTCATCTGCGCTCGATGTGCGACTAAACGTTCCACCTGGCAACCCCATATCAAACACATCAATCCTCTTGAGCTCTTTAAGAGGAAACACTTGACACAAGCGTTAGACACACGATTCCACACGTTCTAGCACAAGACCTGGACAATGCGCACACACACACACTTGCCCCACTTAGTTGCAATCTACTTACCAAGAAAGAAACAAAGAACACTATTGAAGTAATTTTGTACAACGTCAAAAATCAAGTGGGAATCTTATGCGATGCTAGAGAAGGCTGTGCTGCTATCCGTTTGCAAGGCCTGCCGCATGTACGGAAGAGTCTGTCGACCCATCTCCACAAGAAAGTAGTCCTCATCCTATGGAAATGCATCATGATTCAAGTCAAAATGCCAGGTGTGGATGATGGAGGCTGGAGTGTAATGCATATTGCTGGATATGTTTCCTAGAACAGTCCTGGCTGAAGACATTCAAATGGGTAAAGTTGATATCCTTAGCATCTCAGGTGTGCAAGCAAAGCAGGCGTTGCCTCACTCTCCAGCAACCTCACAACCTTGTCAGTTTGGGATAGTTCAAGCATAGGAGCTGGATGCTTTGCCAGATTTCGTCTCAAAGAGGTCGTACCGCACCCATCCAAGCCAATGAGGACGAATTCCAGAGGCATGTCTGCCCAGTGTGACACCTCCTGAAAAGATTGTTCGACAAAGCACACAAAGTGCAGCAAAATGATACAGATGCATGAGTGGAGTGAATCTCACAACAGTTTGAGGCTCACAGCGGCCCTCTTGAACCTTTCGAACAAGAGGGTGATGTCCTACGACTTCCAACACCCTCATGTTTCCAAAATATGTCAACTCCGAATATCTCCGACTTTCCCCATTCCCCGTCCATGGAGGTGATGTTCTGCATCTGCTCATCTGTTCCAGAGAGAGTGTTGAAAAATCGCCCGGTGAGGTCGGACTCCAACTCGGCCTGAAGGTGTCGGGCACCGCTGCCGTGGTCTCGTGGCGGTGTGTCTGCGCAAACATTGAGCGAACCAAGTTGTGAGTCATCCAATTCATGAACCTAATGGGCCATCGCTAATTGGTTGGAGGCCATCGCTATTATCAGGTCGGATGCTGGGGCCATCGCTATTATGCTATTAAATACGCGGCTGACAAGGCGAACAAAACGGCTTGCTCTAAAGTTACAGCCTTGTGGCACCCCAAAAGAATGGTCCACTCAAAAATTGCCGCTTCCTCTGTCTGCAGTGACTCCGTTGAACTCTCGCTTCCATGCACTGCCCTGGGGGAGGTTTCATACAACAGTATTTGCGCACTACTGCCACGCCATCAAGGTCTATGCAGGTATGGTACAATGTTATATAACCTGAGACAAGAGGGGACGAAAGCCAGCCTTTGTAAGAACACATCAATGTGGTTATGGGGTGAATCCGACAGCGCACTGGAACTGCTGTCAGGAATGGGGAAATAGAAGGCAGAGGCGGAAAGTCTCGCATTGAGCCGATATGACAGGCTCTTTACACACAAGGTTTCGATCAAGGCCCATTAGCGATTATAAGATAGAAGTGGAGCCCACGCGTTGGGAAATAAGTTAAGTGACATTGACTTGCGGGGGGAGAAAGGTCGACTTGAGAAGGACATTCACAGGTCGGGGGTGCCCTTCTTCTTTTGGTGCTCGGGCGTCTTCAAGCTGAAAAAGGGCACCCGTTCCTCTGATGGACTCATAAATTCAGCGTGTTGCTAAGAGTGGATCGATGAAAGCTTACTGCCAAGTTCTAGTGATTGCCTAACATAGGGCAAGGATTGCTGTTGTTATGGGGTGAAGTCGACTTTGCACTGACGTCTACTGCTGTTAGAAATAGAAGTCGGAGGGGCGCCCTTTTCTTTTGGTTCAAGGGCGTTTTCAAGCCGAAAAGGGGCACCCCTAAGTAACTGAGGGGCGCTTGCCTGCTGCTTGTTTCTCTTGTCTTGTAGATGGACTCATCACCTCGGCGCGCTGCCAAGAGTGGATTTCCGACCTCTTTTCCTGTCACGTTGTCCCCTTCCCTCTTCTACAGGTCACGTTCTCGCTCGCGTTTCCTTTCACTTCTATTACGCACGAGAAAACAGAGGGCTGAGAGACGCACCTGTCACTTTCCTGGTCCACATGAACTCCCACACTGTATGGGGCGCCCTTTTGCATCCAGTCAACAACCTTCTTCACCATAAAGGGGCCGCCAGACTGCATTTTTTCCCTGAATGGGTGACATCGTTTCTTGCGCCCCCTTCCGCTCTAATTTTCCTGATGGATTTCCGACGGATTTTCCTATCACGTTGTCGAAAGACTGTGGAGTAGATCAAGATCAGAGCACAGCATGAAGTGTTGACGGCTTTAGGTTTTCTCGATTTTCTTGGCGCGGTGCTCTCTGGAGCGTCCCTGTTTGGTGGTCTATTTGAGAATCCGTGTAGAAATAAACGTCAGTGACAACCAGGAGAAGGATGCCCGAAAGGTGGTTTTTGGTTGTTTTGAAATGTGTTTCGGGCATCGTGCATCAATGCGAAGCCCTATAAAGAGCAGGGCTGGGAGAAAAAAAGAGGAAAGCACTCATTCTTGAATGGTTGCAGTTTTCGTGGAGCTGGTATCACTGCGACGTAGATGAAGATCGGTGCACAGCATGAAGTGTTGAATGTTTTTAGTTTTGATTTGCTTGGCGCGGCGCCTTCTGGAGCGTCCCTTGTTGGTGTTCTATTTGAGAACCCGCGCAAAAATAAACATCAGTGAACACCAGGAGAATGATGCCCGAAATGGTTATGTGGTTGTGTTGAAATGTGTTTCGGGTGTCGTGCATCAATGCGAAGCCTTATAGAGAGCAGGGCTGGGAGGAAAAAATAGCAGAGCACCTATAGTTGAAAGCTTGTAGTTTCGTGGAGCTGGTATCACTGCGACTGAGATCAAGATCGGAGCACAGCATGAAGTGTTGAACGCTTGCAGCTGTCTTGCTTCTCCTCTTGCGGCGCTCTTGTCCCCAAGCCTCTACCAGGCTGAAGGTTCGCCATCCCAACTTTTACTCTACGCTACCAGACCTTCCCTTCAGATCGCTGGCTTTCGGGATACATGCTCTGCATGCAAGATATTCTGTCTGGCATATCTTCTGACGTATTATCTGGCATATCTTCTGACATTATTTCTTCATGATGCTAATGATGCACTACTCGGCGTCACTTACATCATCCCCTTTATTCACTTCGTTCACCCTAAAAACTCAAGCCTTGCCTATCGACTGGCTTTCGTAATTTATATATATATATATACATATTGAGGTCTATTCCTTTCGCTACTTGGTTGTCAAATCCGTGGGTTGCCTGGCTGCAGCACCATGGAATGCACCTGAGTTGTAGAAGGTGACTTTTCTGCCAAAGCAAGTACGCATCTCATTTTGCTGCAAAAAAGAAAAACATAACAAGCATGTCAGGTCGGAATCACCACGAGGGGAGCCCTTCATGACCTTGAGAAGACCTGAGAGTTCCTGTCAAACCTCACCCACTGGACATCTGTCACCGACTGTCACTGTCTAGGCACATGGTACTGCTTCGTAGTCCCAGGCCGGGATGCCACAGATTTACATACCAAAAGCGGCCTTCCACGGCCCAACAATTGAGCACCTGCAACTTTCGTTACCAAAAAACATATATGTTTATATGTTTATATAATATAGATGATGACAAGAAGGACAAGAGCTTCATAGAGCTTCTCTTGCGGTTGGGGGCTCCACCTTTTCACACGGAACCGAACAAACGCAATCTGACGCAGTTGTCATCAAAATCACTTCGGCCTTCTGAGAAGCATCGCTGATCAACCTCAGCGCAAGCAAGATGTTCACTTCACACCTCAAAGCACCTACGGCCTACGGCGGCCTGCATGGACAGAAACAATCAAACTATTGACCGCAAAAAAACACCATGAGTCACCAAGTCCTCCATAGCCTAGCTAGCCGGGGCACAGCATAGCATCCGTCGCTGCTTGGATGTCATCGCCTTTCTTCTGTCGAAATTGCTTGGCACCTCCAGCCTCCAACAGCTCCTGGCAGATGAGAAATATCACTAACACGACCTCAGTTGCAGACAATAGAGTCGAGCGCAGCCAGTGGTTCCAGAAAGAGGACAAACGACAAACAGTACAAGTAGTGGAAACAGGGAGGAGCAAAAAAGCAAAGGCATATGTTCAGAGGATGTTAGTGATGTTGTCGTTTGACAATGATGCTTTAGAGTTCATTGATGTTCATTGCATCGGAATGCATCGGATGTTTGCAAATCAGCATTCACGTGTCGGGCAATTCGTACGGTCCTTCGGTCCTTCTCTTTGGAGTTGAAGCTTTGCCACATCAACGTGCCATCCTGCGGCGGGGAACCTCCATCCATCAGCATCAAGGTAGCAGCTGAGCTGCGACGAAACTGTGTGAAGCCCTGGCCGAAGAGCTGCTCTTGGATTGGTCGACGTCTTGCTGTTTCGTGCTTCCTCTGGTCTTTGTTTGCTCACACTTCTGTCTCTGATGGGAGCTCCTTTTGGTGACGGAAATAGCGAGAATTGTGATGTAAAGAATTGATAACAATGGAAAATATCAAGCCTGCAGGTACTTCTCCAAGCAGCTAGGCATGCAAGAACCGCTGTTGCAATCCTCACATGGCTTTGGGCCTCAGTTGAAGTCGGTCTAACACTATCGAGCTGGAAACACTATCGAGCTGGCTGTGGGTCAAAACTGGGGGACCCCGGTTGACCACAGAAAATGAACAGAATAGACTAGTAAGGAGATCAAAATACCAGTGGAGCTAGCTTTCTGCTCATTTCATCGAAGGTCCTACAACTTCAACGGTTGCTTCAAACAGCCGAAGTCGACCGGGCCGAGCGAAGTCGACCGCCGACAATGTCGTCTGGGTGACCGAGTTACGCTCCCAGAAGCATGCAAATTGCATCTCGCAGCTCTGACGCTCCCCAAGACTCTGGCATTGAGCCTGACAGAATTGAGAGACGGGAGACCTCAGTAGCTTCTAGTTACTAGAAGCAAGAATGCTCCTAGTAGCGATGCCAGGAGCCCCTAATAGCGTCCTTGCTCCTAGTATATAGCGATGCCCTTTGCTCCTAGTAGCTTCTTGTTCCTAGTATTGAGCCTGACAGAATCTCAACTCGCATCATCTTGCATCTCTCAACTTCCGATTGAGCAAGGTGTTGGCAGATGATGGTGCATGGCATTGCATGTCTTCATCCAGGCCTTGAATTCGGAGTGCGCGGAGCTGCAGCTTTCCTGACCACTTTGAATGAACCATTCTAGTCCAGGGCCAAACCCTGTCAATTTGCTGGATCTTTCGCTTGGGAAAGAATGCAAACGGCACACCAATGGCCTTCCCTTGAATTCCTCAACCCACCCGCATATATACACACCAAAAAATAAAGTACCTCACACCGCACGATCATACATGGCTTGAACAGTTTCGGCAATCCGAACTGAAACACGATCCTCGCAGCTTCCACAGCAGCAGTTGCCCGCAGCGGTGGCCAAAGCCGCCAAAGCAAGGCGTCGGCGCATGAGACCATTGCTCAAAGGAACACTTTCAAGGACTGAAAGAAGCTTCGGGTCTGTTGAAAGTTTCGCTGAAAGCTTTGGGTCTGAGGGGTCAAAGGTCTGGAGGTCTAGGAGCAGCTCTACATTTCTGCTGCCTCTTTCTCTGTGGCTGTGGTGACCTTCATCAAGCAGAGTGGATCTTTAAATAGATGGGTGACCTTCATCGCTTCTGCTCTCTGTTTGACACTTTGGTCTTGATTGGCTCAGCATGGCTGGTCAATGTGGACTAGGCCTAGGCGGACTTTAACACAAATGCACGTCCTTGTCATAGGGAAGCACCAAATCCTTTCTCCTTTCACCGTTTGAATGGGTGATCAATGGAGATGAATCGTCAATAGTCAATCTTCTCACCGGGCCTGGATGCCCGGATTTCTCTCAAAGAATTTGGTTTGATCCACTCCACTTCTGCTTTCGGCACTGGAGTCCACGTCCTCAGAAAAGAGAGCTGCTTGGAGTCAATAGATCAATGCACACTGCCCCAATACCTTGCTACTTGTAGCATCCTTGCTACTAGCTTCTTGTTAGCTTTTGTAGGTCATCAATATATAGACTCAATGTATTGACCAATCTGTACTGGTCGATGATTATTGTGGAACATCGTCAACTGAAAGCCTCGAGGCCTCGAGAGCGGTGTTGAGCTCACTCACAGGCGTCCAAACTATGATTCAAGGGTTCCCCCGCAATAAATCCTTTGTGGCAGCATCCATCTAGATATGTATACATATATCCATCTTCCATCCTATTTCTAAAGGTAGGTGACATTTGTCAAAAAGTGCAAATTTAAATTCTTTCGAGATTCTGGTATGCGGCACCACTCATTTGACGGCACCTAAGCGGCAAGCAGCGGCACCTCCATCTTGAATCGTTGAATCAATTTCAAGTCCGCCAGAGTCACTCAAGACATTCCATTGGACAGCGGTTTGGAAGGAAGAGGTTTGGACAGCTATCTTGAACATTTCCATACATTTCCCCGTTGCATTGCATGCAAAAGAAAAAGGCACAAGTCTTCTGGCCTTCATAAAGAGTCTTTGTGGTGGGGATTGAAACTCCAGAATCAGAATTGTAGAGGAACAAAAAAGATCAACAAAATCAGAAGGCCCCTTCAACAAGGCCCAATAAAGGAGCATTTATCCTCGTTTTTTGTCGTCTCTTTCTTCCCTCCCAAACTAATTATATACTGACTCGGGCACATAGAGCAGTGGCAGTGTTGCATCTCTCTCGGAAGACGCTGGGTCCTGGCACGACTGAACTAGCCAAAATCCAATCATTGCTCCTAGTAGCGTCCTTGCTTTAGTACTCCTTGCTCCTAGTAGCGATGCCCTTTGCTCCTAGTAGCGTCCTTGCTCCTAGTGACATCTTCCCTTTCTTTTGTTGCTCCTTGAGAATCCTTAAGATCTGTCTCTCCAAATATTAATGCCACAGGCTACAAGCAGAAAAACGGATTAAAAAATGCGGATGAAAATTGTGGCCAAATAATACAACATCAATATGAGTATGTGTTTGGTCTGTACCTGCCATCATGTTCATTGATGGTGTCTTGCAACAGGAGGATCCTTAGATCCTTCACAGTAGCTGTGGAAGGTCTCTGGATGTCCTGAAGCGGCAGGCTCCGCAAAGACAGGATCCCGAAATTGGGAGTTGTGGACGTGATTGGATGCTCACCATCCTCAGATTGAGCAGCAGGAGCATGCAGGAGCCAGGATTTAAAGCAACGCCAAAACACCTGAATGGTCATGCAGTGCGGCTAAACTCACATGCTGCTTCTATGCGTGAAGGAGAAAGGACCAAGCTGGCTCGATTCCAACATGACCTGACTGCAAAAATATTGCATCTCGGGTGGTCGACAGTGATGCGGTCGGCTGGGTTGCCACGCCCAAACAAAGGCCCAAATGGTGCTGGCGACTGAGTTCCTATGTCCTGTCACAGTGCTCTTGAGTGCTCTGTGCGCTTTACCGGCTCTACCCAAATTATGGGATGTGGAGGACACCAAAACCAAGCCAGCATTGTTCAACATTAGCAAGAAGATTGATTTGTTTGCAGCTCTTTCTTCCTGTCTTCCAGTCCTTGTCTTTCTTAACTAGTTAGATTTGTTTTAAAATTGTGTGGCCGTCTTTGATTGAAGGGCCTTGGGTCTAGGACGTCACTAACAAGAGCGCTTTCATGCGCTTTCTTACTGCTTCACTCTGGTTTAATCTGGCTCAAAAAGGCTGTGGGACATTGTCGAAATGGACGGCCCATCAACCAGGAAGCCAACAGAACTGTTTTGATAAGGTTCCCAACATGTTCCCAGTATTTCATTGAAAATCTCTGCTTCTCCTTGAGCTTTGGAGAGACCTCCTTTGGGAAGCTTGCATCCGACAGAACCCCCGCTGGCAAAAGAGAGCAGCGGACCTCGAGAATTGTGGGGCTCTGTGCCGCAGGTGATGAAATGAAGGCAAGCCAGTTTGAACCCAACTTGTGATGCTTAGCTCATGCTCATCTCAGCACCGTATTTCGGTCGTGATCGACACACCGGTCGCCCACAGTCGAAGCTGCGTCTAAGGCCGCGTCAGTCCCTTCCAGGTGCAGGGAGACGAGACAAATGCTGCCACACCTCAATTATGTTCCAAACGCTGCCACACCGCAAGTCAAAGCTCTTTATCATGTTAAATGCACGTTAGTCCGCTTACAATCAAAGCTGCAAATTAGTCAGATTCAAGTCTCCTCAGCTTTACACGACTGGCAGAAATGCCGTTTGACTTCTGCATTCACTGTGCCTGCAAGGCAACTCTGAAGGACAGAATAAACTGTTGATTTGCGAAAGAAGTGGCACTCTAGACACAAAGTAATAGTAAGAGCCAACAGACAAATCTTGATATGAACCACAGAGTGCATTAGCAAGACGTGTTTTTGTTGAAATGCGGACATGAAAAAAGGTATCCGCGCCTGCAAGTCCAGAGCACATGGAGAAGGGGCCCTCCTTCAAAGAGCCTGCGGTCCCAAAGCACCAAAGTTGCTGCTGCTTTTCCCGAAAGCACTGCGAAGGGTTCTTCCGGAAAATCTCTTGAACACTTCACTTCACACTTCACACTTACACTTGAACACTTATACACTTACACTTGAACACTTACACTTCTATACTCACAATGGCACAGAAGTGTCCAAGTGAAAGTTTGTAAGTGAAAGTGTGCAAGTGTAAGTATCCCAGCGTAAGAGTGAAAGCATCCAAGTGCAAGTGTGCAAGTGTAAGTATCCCAGTGCAAGTATGCAGGTGCAAGTAAGTATCCCAGTGCAAGTGTGCAAGTGTGAGTATGAAAGCTTTCTCTTCAAAGGCGGAGGGTGGGACGAACAGCGTCAACCGAAAATGAGTGCGCGAAATGCAAGCGAGAGCGCGATTCATCATGGACGCGGGCAGCCCTCTGCGGAGATCGTGCGCGTCGAGCGCGCGAACTGCAGGCGAGAGCGCGACTGGTCCTGGACGCGCGCAACCCTCTGCGGAGATCGTGCGTGTCGAGTGCGCGAAATGCAGGCGAGAGTGCGATCTGTCCGGTACCCGCGCAACCCTCTGCGGAGATCGCGCGTGTCGAGCGAGCGAATTGCAGGCGAGAGCGCGACTTGTCCCACGCGCGCGCGTATCTGGGGAGCTGGAAGATGAGAACTGGCGACTTGCTAGTACAACTTTAGTACGCGGAGCAAGCTGTGGAGCTGGAAGCTGAGAACTGGCGACTTTGTAGTACAACTTTAGTACGCGGAGTATGGGGAGCTGGAAGATCAGAACTGGTGACTTTCTAGTACAACTTGAGTACGCG